TTTTTGCCAATTTCATTGCCATGGTCCTTTTCTTTCAAGTTATTACCTGGAACTGAAGTGATAACAAATGTTTTATGTTTTATACTGCCAGATAAAAGGTTAAATTTTCATATGTCACATGCTGTCACACACACACACACACACACACACGGGATCAAAAGGAAATGAGTAGTTCTCCTAAAATGGAAAGATTGTCCTACTTTTAACATTAGGTGACTAGTTCCCCCGTGGTTAAGTCATATGTAAAAAATTGGAAATTCAACCTTATGGGTCTCTGTGTACTGACTGTATCATACAGTTCTAATTTTCTTTTGTTTTTCTGGGAAAATGATAGTGCTCTTTGCTTTGCCAAGTTTTATTATTGAGTCAACTGCCAAAGCTTAAGAGAAAGAAGGTCAAGGGCTCTCAAAATTATTTGGTGTTGAGTGAAGAGGCAGAGAAAGGTATTCTGTATTCCCCCAAATTTTAACTTTTATATCTCTACCTGATGTGGGAATATAATCTAGACTTCACGGCTCTTCTGATTTTTTAAAAACAATGTACACTGTTGAGTGATGTCAGAATATTAGTGAAGGGAACTTTAATTTTACTTATTGATACCCAGGTTGGAACTATATATTCTAATTTTTAATAGAATATGTCTTATGTTCTCTGTATTTAAACTTTCTTGTCTTCTGTTCTCTGTATTTAAACTTCTGTGCATCAGAAAGCCTCTGTGCCTGTTTGTGGTTTTGCACCATCTGGAAGTTCATATTTGACTTTAGAAATGATGTCATACTTGCTTACTGCAAACTAGGCTAATGTTAGTTGAGAAATGGTTGCGGTTCAGGTCAAAGTTTTGTCTTAAAAAGGAGACCCTCAAGCACAGTTTCTTGATTCTAGGAAGCTCTGCAAAGCTCTAAAGATAGAGTGAAGGTGATTGAAGGTCAGGATCCAAATTCCTTTGAAGTTAAGTACATGCTTTCCGGAGCATGAAAAATAAACTCCCAAACAGAAGACCTTAGCTGGCACAGACTCCCTCCTGCCATATTGAGTTTGGGTGTTGTGAGTAGTGTGTTGATCACAACCATCCTTGCTCTCTGTTTTGTTCCCAGATAAATATTCTCACAGCTAGGGTTGCTTTTTATCTCTCCTGGGCTCAGGAAAATGCGGCAGGATACTGATAGATCACACATGGCGAGAAGGTGCTACAAACGTTAAGCCTTGAAGTCTAGGTTATAGTCCAACATCAGGTAGAGACATAAAAGTTAAAATGTTTGGGAATAAGGAATACCTTTCTCTACTTTTTCACTCAATGCCAAATAAGTTTAAGCACCCTTGACTCTCTTTCATCATCACATAGTCTGTTTTTCTAAACTCTCTCCAGCTCACTACTCACTACCTCCCATAATGTAATTTATTTATATCACAGTTTGAATATTGAGCATTTTCTTTAGTCCAGTTTTGATAGTTAGGATGTGGGGCTTACGGGACCACATGGAGTCCTGTAAGCCTGTGTGCAAATATCTACAACTGATTGTAACTCCTTGGAACACTGCTGTAATCTGGAGTGCTCAGTATGTTCTGCCAGCTTCCAAGAATCCACCAATTGCCTATGCTTCATGCATATCTCAAAATCATATTTTTCCTTGGATATGATGAAAACCCAAAAAGAAGTAGTAGTGATATTCTAGGTTGGTAGATGGTAACTTTAAACAAAGATAGGCCACATGAGAATCTGGGATGCTTAAGCTTTAGTGCACCTGGCATGAATTTTCATCTAGGAATGGGAGGAAGATCCTCAGGACATGAGAACCCTTCCACCTTCTCAGCCCCTACATCTGGTCATTATGTGAGAAGAGGCACAGCTGTCAAATATTTGAAGAGCCTGCAGGTCTCACCCTCCAAAGTCACACAGAATGCCTGTCCTCTCTCATAATGCAGTCAGGACCACTCGTCTTCGGGGGCTCCATGCAGAAATGGGAAAAACTCTACTCCCCTTTTCCCCATCACCTTTGACCTTTAGAAGAAACACAACTTAGACACCCCTTTCCAAGAAAGGGGTAAGAAAGGCAATGCTACTTGCATAACTTTTCTGTATCTCTAGTATCATCATCCTTCCCTGATGTGTTCTACCAAAGACTGATGTATGCCTTTAAAATCATCAAATGTCCAGTACTATCTGTTTCAACCTTTTTGTTTTACAGATGGAGAAATGGAGGCTGCTAGGCTGGGTGGTGGTGGGGAAAGCGAGAGTTCTTTGTCTTGATCCTCACAGCCAGATAGAAGCAGAGCTGAATCTAAAACCTATGTTCCTCTCCCACTATTTTTTTTGGCTTCTTGCGGCAGGCTTGCATTTTTTTGTTTTACAATTATTTTGTCTTTGTATCCAAATTTTACTTGCCTGTAGTATAAAGAAGCAAAATGCTCAACAAAATTTGTTATGAGATGCAACACCCCTACGTCCCCTTGTCTCATTTCTTCTTCCCCAAGGCAAACCCTTTTAACTCTTTTTGTTTGGTTGTTTTGATATGTCTAAATAACAGAGTTGCCTCTCTACTTTCTGATTGTTGATGTAGTGCCTATTTATTGACTTCCTGGTGGAGAGTGAGTATTAAATCTTCCATCACCCCAACACCTTATCACCAATTGGGATCCAATCCCACCCGTTCTTCATTCTCCCAATAGAGTTACATGATAATTTTGTTGCCAGGGTGGTTTTTTGTTTTGATCTCTTTCTTTCATGAAAGAGTTGTTGTAAGATATGTCTTAATTCTTAGTTTATACTCATAGTTTTTGACTTTATTGAAATATAAATTATAACTGTATATTGAAGTATATATTACTAAACTGTACAATTCAATAATTTGACAAATCTGTACACCATATAGCCACTCTGCCCTCTCCCAATCAATTTAGAGAACAAGGAATTCCCTGCTGGCCCTTGTAAGCAGTCCTTCCCTTCTTCCACCCTGGGCAATCATTGCTTTCACTTCTATCACCATAGGTTAGTTTTTCTCTTTTAGAATTTGACAGAAATGGAAATATAATCATGCTATAAATCTGATTTTTTTCACTCAGCATGCATTTGAGATTCATCTATGTTGTATGTATCTACAGTTCATTCCTTTTAACAGATAAATGGTATTTCATATAAATATACCACAGTTTTGTTTACACATTCATTTGCTAATAGACATTTGGGTGGTGTCCAGTGTGCTCCATTATGAACAATACATCTATGAACATTTCTGTAAATATCATTTTGTGGACACATCTTTTAGACTCATTGTATAATCTTATTTAATTCTAATTTGTTGTGCTAAACACTGTATATCCTTTTTTTATATTAAGGCAACTAACTAAGAGTTATTTCATGTATCCCTTCCCAAACTGACCAGGATAGATCCCTAAGGAGTTAACTCCTGGGACACATGGAAAGTTCTAACCCTGATTTTCATTTGATTACATATTAAGGTGTCTTTAATGATCCAGAGAAAATTTAAGCTTGGTACTTGCCTTAGTTCATTCAGGCTGCTATAACTAAGTACCTAGACTGAGTGGCTAATATCTAGAAATGTATCTTATGGTTGCAGAGGCTGAGAAGTCCACGGTCAGGACACCAGCCGATTGTGTCTGGTAAGTGCTTGCTCTCTGCTTCATAGATGGTACCTTCTTGCTGTGTCCTCACATGATAGAAGAGGTGAATGACCTCCTTTGGGCCTTTCTTATAACGGAACTAATCCCATTCATGAGTTCTTGCAATCATGACCTAATCTCCTAAAGGCCCCACCTCTAAATGATATTGTATTAGGGATTTGATTTCAGTATATGGATTTTGGGTGGTGCTAGCATTCAGACTATAACAGTGGTATCTGGTGAACTGACAACATGATAATTGTGGCAAAGGGTTCTAATCATTTTTTTACAACTAATAAAAAAGTAAATGTCTTGAGAGTAATATATTAAATGTCATTGTTTATCTAAGGACAATTTCCTTAGAAACTTTTAGTCTGCTACTGACAATAATTAAAGACAATAACTCTTTATATAAAGTGTTTGTCACAGATCCTTTTAAAGACTAGATTAGTGTACATATATGAACATGGTTGCAAATATGGTATTGTAGATCAATAAAGTATAATTTTAAAAGGCTGTTGAGAATTAACTTTAAAATTGTCTTTTAGTGGTCTTTATATTCTTTAGGTTGTCTTATTTATTTTATTACCCAGTGCTTTTTCCCCCTATGATCTAGTCTGAGTAGTCTAGAAATAGAACTTTCTTTTCAAATGGTCTTCAGAATGTTAAATTAAAAAAAATAAAACTTATGGTTTTCCCTTTTATTAATGACATTTGAAAAGCAGGAACTGTAATTTTCTAAATTTTGAGCTATGGTACAAAGAGGGATTTTTTTTTGTTTGCTTGTCTTTTTTTTTCCTTTAAAAGTATTTGGATAGCAGTCTTTCATAAAACTGAAGAATGGGTGTTTTGTTTCTACATCATTTTCTTTCTTCTTCAGCAGTAACCTCCTCCTGGCAACATGCATTTTTTCTAATTTAGGAGCCTTGCTCTACGTGTCAATCTTGTTCTTCCAGATGTCCATGGTGTGGCTCATTGTGTTCTCCATATTCCTGGAGGATGCTGCAAAGCAAAGCATGAGCAGAGCAGTGTTTCCCCTCCCGGGGCTCTCAGAGACATGGAGTATTAGTGGGCTTTGTTTCCCAGCTTGAATCAACATGTTGTTTCTCATAAATAGGGAAACATACATGGAAACATACTACTATTTCATAATGTCTTATTTTATTAATATAGAAGCTTTATATGTTAGAAAAAATGTATACAATTAAAATGACAATAAGATAGAGATAGCCCTTCAGAATACATGGCACTGAGGTACCTGTGAGCATGGTTTGATCATGTTGTGCTCAGGAGACATGCTATTGCCACACTCCTTCCAAGGCCATGATGATTATTGTTGTCCTCTGTAAAACCACAACCATCTTTCTTTTTCTTGATTCCAGGTAGATGCACTGAGATTGCGACTAGAAGAGAAAGAATCTTTTCTCAACAAAAAAACAAAACAGCTGCAAGACCTCACAGAAGAGAAAGGGACACTGGCTGGAGAGATTCGTGACATGAAAGACATGCTAGAAGTGAAGGAAAGAAAAATCAATGTTCTTCAGAAAAAGGTGAGTGGGGTATTATTTATGTTTTGTCATTTTGGAAAAATTTTGAGTATATAGAAAATAAGTGACTTCGAAGAATTTTTTATTTTATTTGTAAACTTTTTACTTCGTAATTGTATCATATCATTATTAGCACAGTCTGAGGAATTTTCTATCTGATTACTTAAAAATAAAATCGTGATGACTTTTTAAAATATGCCAACTTAAACATCAAGGTAATTGTACAATTTGATACAAATCTAAAATAACAAAAGGTCCAAAAAGTTAGCTAAATTTTTATTTTTCCTCACTGAGAGTTAGCAAAATATTTGTGGGTCTTAAATGTGTTTTAGATACATTGGTATTTACATGACTTTAGTAGCTCCTATCTTGCCAAACCCATGTAGTTGTTTTTTTTTTTTTTTTTTTTGTGAGGGCTGTTAAGGGTAATGTTTTACAACCGTTACTTGATTGAAATAAATGGAAAGAATGTATAATAAGTTCCAGCCTCAGTGACCCAACACAGAAGATGCATGACCCTCTTAGAACCCTTTCTTCTTTCCTTCAGCAGCTCATTTTCTCCTTTATAGGGACCCTGATTTTGTTACAGCACCGCAATTTTCTTTTGGAGAATTTCTTTTTGTCACTATGTACAGTTTTGGTGGGATCATTGAGTGTCCTTCCTTCCTCTAGAAAAAGGATAAGCAAGAAGAGAAACCAATACCTGCTCTTTTGTGAAAAATAAAAAGTGTTGGAAAGATATAGAGCTCTCAAATAAACAGGCACCCAGCATAGAAACTGGGCAGAAATTAGTGGTGGGCTGTAGGAGTTGTTGACCAGGACACTGCCATCGACAGGTATGTTGTTGGGTACCATGCTGCAGCTGCTAGCAAGTGGAACTAACTAGCCCTTGTCCTTGGTGTTACTTGCTGCCATCATCTGTCACCTGGCTTGGATCAACAGCATCCTAGCTCTGTTTCCTGCTCTCACCTTTATGTGTCCTACAACCTGGTCTTAACACAGAAACTGGAGTGATCCTATTACAGCATAAAACAAGGCTGGGCGTGGTAGTTCACACCTCTAATCCCAGTACTTTGGAAGGCTGAAGCAGAAGGATTGCTTGAGACCAGGAGTTTCACACCAGCCTGGGCAACATAGTGAGACCTTATCTTTACAGAAGCATTTAAAAAAAATTAGCCAGGTTTAATGGCATATACCTGCTGTCCTAGCTACTCAGAAAGCCAAGGTGAGAGGATCGCTAGGAGTTTGGGACTGCAGTGAGCTATGATTATGTCACTGTACTCCAACCTGGTGGCAGAGGAAAACCCTGTCTAAAAAATAATAAAGACATAAATAAATAAAGCATAAAACTGTTCGTGTCACTCTCTGATCAAAACCCTCCAATCACAACCCGCTACATAATTTATGGGGCCCAGTACATAATGTATATGTGAAGCCTCTTGTCCAAAAAGTTGAGAATTTCAGAATGATCCTAGAGTATTAAACCAACCATGGGTCCCTATGCAGCTACGCAGGTCAAGCTTTTCCTATACCTAGTGGCTTCCATTGTCACTCATAGTTCCTGTGGAAGTCCCTTCAAGGGCCCATGGTGCCCTGCATGATTGGACTCCCTCTGACCAGTCTGACCTCTTGTCTTGCCACCCTCCCCTTTGCTTACATTGCATCAGCCACTGTGGACTTTGAGTTCTTCTGCAAACAGGTCAGGTACACCCTTTGGGGCCTGACGTGCTGTAGCCCCTTCAGAGACACTCTCATTCTGAACCTGTACTGCCCAGTGTGGTAGCCTTGAGCCATATGTGGTTATGAAGGCCTTGAATTGAGATGTGCTGTAAGTGTGAAATACATATTAGATTTGGAAGACTTATTATGAAAAAGAGAGTATAAGATCTCTCACAATGACTTTTACATTGATTATATGTTGAAGGGAAAATATTTTTAACATACTGGGTAAAATAAAATATATTCTGGTAAGTAATTTCACCTGTTTATTTTTTACTTTTTTAATGTGACTACTAGAAAGTTTAAAATGATCTGTGTTGCTCACATTATGTTTCTGTTGGGCAGAACTGTTCTAAGTACCCACAAGGCTCATGCCTTTGCTTCTTTCAGGTACCTACTCAAATGGTACTTGGTTACAGGTCTCCTTTGTCTGTTCTGCTTAAAATAAATAGTGTGACCACCCACATTCCTGCCCTCTGTACTCCCTCATTCAGTATCATTTTTCTAAGTAGAACTTATTACCATCTGACACATGTATTTTTTTTTTTTTGAGTTGGAATCTCACTCTGTCACCCAGACTGGAGTGCAGTGGCCACTCCCGGCCACCACAGCCTCGACCTGCTGGGCTGTGGTAATCCTTCCGCCTCAGCCTTCCAAACATGTATATTTTTAAAAATTATTCATTCATATTACTAGAGTTTAAATTCCAGGCAAGTAGTCTTTCTTTCTAACTATTATATCTTTAGGATCTTGAAAGTATACATATTCAATAAATATTTGTTGAATAAATGTATTAATGAACTTGCCAGTGTTAAAGTCTTGCATGGGAACATTGATTGGCCAAGGTTACATGCCCATCCCTCCTTCAGGGAACACTCTTTCCTGCCAGTATGATTCAAGAACAGAACTAGGCAAAGATGGCAACTATTATCACTCATTTGTTTCTGTGAAGAGGCTGTGATAAGATTATCAGTGCATTCCTAATATCCAGATCCCCACCTGCCCTTCTGCTACCTTTTCATAATTTCATAAGAGAGTTCTCCCATCTTTCCTAGTCAGCTTGTCTCTTCCCATGTATTTCAGTTCTGTTATGGTCAGTCGGAAGCCTAAGGTACATTTATGTACAGAATAATACAAACCAAATCATGGAGACTTTGCCAGAAAGTTAAAAGTAGAGACACTGCTTTGCTTAGAAATCTCAGGATATTGGTGACTTGATGGATTGTATTATTAACTCCTCTCTGTAGAAGTCTATATGGACAAGGTCCTGGTCATTGGATCCCCCTCTGGAAGCACTATCTTGTTGATACATAAAATTAGAAGATACCTGGGCAGAGATAACTAAGGACCCTTGAGTCAAAGGGACTGTCTAGGGCAAGTGGGAACTACAGAGAGTTGGTTATAGCAGCAGCTCTTGGAGCACTTTCTAAGAATTCAAAAGAAGACTTTTCCTTCCAAATATCCAGCAGCAAATGGTAACAAAAGTTGACATTCACTTGACTTAATTAGATTGAACACTGCATGCTAAAGTAAATAGACCATCTCCTTAGGTAATGGTCTAAAGTACAATTATTAATCCAAGGAATTAGGGAATATTGAGGTTTATGGTAAACAAGCCAAGGTCACACAGCCTAGATATAAGGTGTTTTTGTTTTGTCTTTTAAAACTAAGTAATATGATTAATGGGAATTAAGAGAAAAGCCTCATTTTCCTTTTGAACTCAGTTTTTATGATGACACCAGGTGTGAGAGGGAATTGAGGAAACATCACAGTTGTTCATTTTGTCAGGAGTTGAGACTAAGTGCTCTCATTCTTGATGAATAAATGATAACCGTTTTCAGTAAAGATTTTGGGATGGCACTTTCAATGCATAAGTGACAAATGACTACTTTTGCAGATGTGAATATTTTGCACAATTTTAAGTTTTCCTCCACAGCCAGACTCAAATATTTGAGAACTAGTTTGGAACTTCTAGAACAAAAACAGTTGTACATTATGGCTCCTTTTGGCACCATAATCACGATCTTACTTGTTTAAATCATGTAGATAATGAATTTTGAAATATTTCATGTATTGGATTGATGCACATGTTCATAGCTTTTTTTTTTTTGGTGGCTGTTTTAAATGGTCTTCATCAAAGTCCAGTGGTCTTCCAAAATCACTCAGGTTAAAGTGGCCCTTTTTGGAACAACAAAACCATTTTCTTGGCATGCTTTCCCTGATGACTTTTTCCCCGTACATGGCACAAATGTTTCGAGCCACCTCTGCTGCCTTTATTCCTCTGTTAAACTCCCAAACAGAAGAATATGTCACGAGTGTTTGGTTTTTTTCCCCCTTGATACTCTGTCTTCTTTAGCCCACAAATAGCACTCACCAACTTTCTTCAATCTGCAAAATGCAAGGCATATTCACAAGCACAACATTGTTATTCCAAATGACGAACAATAAACTCCCAACACCACAGTGTTGCCTTGCCAATAACAAATGCTGCAAACTTATGTATCAACCAAATATATTGGGAGAGTTTGCTCAGTTTCAAGTTTTTTTAACTGAGCGTTGACCGATACATTCAGGGAGGAGATAAAACCATTGGCAACATGATAAAGCCACAGGAGCCATAGTATACCTGCAATGTGAAAAATAAATAATCCTCAGAGAAGTGATGCATGCATACTATTTAGAAACTAATGCAAAATGTAGAAATAAAACAGAAACTAATAGGCCAATGAAATATTGTCTTTGGGGCTGGAGACCCCCTGGAGCTTAGACCACATGCATCGTAATTGACTGTTTTCAGGCAGGCCTGGATTGGAATAGCACAAGTTTTGGATTAGGGTGTGTTGGCATGGAAGAATAAAAAATTCATGTCAATGTCAGATGTGCAGCATTACTTCATATTTCTTTCTTACAGACTCTTTTGCAACCCGCATTGTGTTTTGATGCCAGTAGAACTGGGTATGCTTCTTTCCCAGCCATATTTAACCTGGCAAAGCTAGACTTGCATTTCATATCTGTCAGCTCTGCCTTCAGAGCTCTGGGTCTCTGAAGTCTTGTGTACTCCGTAAACCATGTAGACAGGCATGGACGTGATGCTCTAAGCATTTTGTCACTTGAAGAAGGATGTGAGCTGAATAAGCAGAACCTCAGGTAAAAGAAAATCTCTGAGAAAGCTTTTGTTGGAAGACAAAGATCATCCAGAGTAGATTTTTGGTCATACCATCATATTTCAGGCTCTACTCTATAATTCCAAGTTATGGACTTATTTTAGTAGGGGACAAAAATGT